CGGAAGCGCGGCCCCGGCCAATCTCCCGCAACCGTCAGTAGAATGAAGGGCTCTCCCGAGCCTCCTCTTCGGCGTCACAACAAAACTCAGCGGTCCGTGGTTGTAGGTAAAGTGGCTCCCATGGGAGGGGACAGAGCTCTGCAACCCCAGAAGTATGGGACGGCAGAGCCCCCGAGGCCCCACAGAGGGCGCCGTCGCGGAAGGAGAGCTCCTCAAGGCCCAGGGGTCCTGGCTCTGGTCTCTGCCTGGTGAGGTTTCTCCTTGGGAACCCCCAGAGGCCACGTGCCTGCTTCAGGGACCAAGGTGCAGGCTGGATCGCCTGGGGCAGAGGGAGACAAGGATGGACAGAGGCCAGCGTTGCTCTAGAACCCAGTGTCCAAAGTTAGCAAAGTTTGCTTCTTGGGCCAATATACAAGTAGCCCCTGCGTTCTTTCCCTGATGGAATTTGTTGAGTTCCCAGTATTATACGGAGTTTCTCCACTAGATTGAAAACAGCCTTAATCTTAAGCCTGAAGAAAAATAGGGGGAAAAAATCTAAGATAATTCTGTCTGGGGTTTGTTGTTTGTTTCGTTTCCCCAAATCAAGAGAAAAACCAAAGATGTCCCTCATTGGCCATCATCAAGGTCTCTACAGACCAGCCACAAACCATACAACCAATAGAACTCCGGGCTGGCTTTGCTGGATAAAGAAGAAATGGGTAAGAGAAGTGAGGTCCTGGGTCACAGGCAACTCTCTAGCTCCATCCACAGGCCAGCATTTGGAAAGCTTGTGTAGTTTTGTATGACAAGGAATAATTGAAAATAAAGCTCTGCGTTTAAAAAGTCAGTTTCAGGGCTTCCCTGATGGCACAGTGGTTGAGAGTCCACCTGTCGATGCAGGGGACACGGGTTCATGCCCCGGTCTGGGAAGATCCCACATGCTGCGGAGCGGCTGGGCCCGTGAGCCATGGCCGCTGAGCCTGCGCATCCGGAGCCTGTGCTCCGCAACGGGAGAGACCACAACAGTGAGATGCCCGCGTACCGCAAAAAAAAAGAGAAAAAAGTCAGTTTCAGGGACTTGCCTGATGGTCCAGCAGTTAAGACTCCATGCTCCCAATGCAGGGGGCCTGGGTTGGATCCCTGGTCGGGGAACTAAGATCCTACGTACCCCAACTACTGAGCCTGCATGCCGCAACACAGAGCCCGCATGCTGCAATGAAGACCCAGCGCAGCCACAATAAATAAAAAAATAACAAAAAATTAAAAAGTAATAATAATAAAAATTATTTTAAAATAAAGATCCCGCATGCCGCAACTAAAGATTCCACATGCCGCAACTAAAACAAACAAACAACAAACAAAAGATCTCACACGCTGCAACTAAGACCCAGGGCAGCCAAATAAATAAATATATATATTTTAAAGTCAGTTTCACAAAAAAGTCAGTTTCGTTTAACTTGGCTTAAAAAACAGAAATCTTAATTTGTTAAGATTTAGGTGCTTGCACCCCCCCCTTTGATGGAGGGGTTCCTTCCGGGTTCCCTCGTCACAGCGGTGCTGCTCACACTTTCTGGTTTCCAATGGGCCCACAGAATGTCCGGTCCGCTTGTGTTTGTCACTTAAAGTCTTAGGTGGAAGCCACTAGGCAGGACAGACACCGCTTTCCTAAAGACACTAAGTTAATAAAAGGAAATTAGGATGATGCTTTCTACCTGACGTGTTCATGTTCTGTTCTTTTTTTTTTTTTGCGGTACGCGGGCCTCTCACTGTTGCGGCCTCTCCCATTGCAGAGCACAGGCTCCAGACGCGCAGGCTCAGCGGCCATGGCTCACGGGCCCAGCCGCTCCGCGGCATGTGGGATCTTCCCGGACCAGGGCACGAACCCATGTCCCCTGCATAGGCGGGCGGACTCTCAACCACTGCGCCACCAGGGAAGCCCCGTGTTTATGTTTAATTGACAAACGTGGGGTTCTCAGCCACCCATGCTGTGCTGTTTTGCTGACAGGATTCCCCCAACGTCCCCCCTCCCCACAGGACGTTTTTTTTTTCTCTGAAGGAGTCCTCCAGGTTTGAAGACCTGGAGGAGAGATGCAGAAGTTGGACAGCTTGGCCTCCAGCCTGACCTTGAGCCCAGGGTGAGGGGACACAGCTGCCCCCGAGAGCCCAGGCCAGCAGGAGCAGAGTGGGCCCCACCCAGGCCCAGTGCAGAGGACTCTGCCCCCAGATCCTGGGCAGCAGGTGTGGTTTCTGAGTCCCCTGCATCTGGCCAGACCCTTGGGGAGCTGGGGCCTTCCGTCAGGCCCCAGGACTTACCAGCACTGAGGCTGCAGCGCCAGCTGCCCAACCTGCCCAGTGTCTCCCAGGGACAGAAGCCTTTCCATTTGAATCTGGAGCCCCCCAGCATCACTCTTCGGTCTTGCTCTCCTAGAACAGCTGGGCCTTCAGGGGCTGATCTCTCTCCCTCACCCAGCTGGGGCCCTTCCGCTCCCATTCTCTCTTCAGGCTTCAAAAGGACCTGCTGGAGCCCCAGTCATGCGCCCCAGTCCGGCCAAAAGAAAAGCTGCTGGCTCGGCCTGGTCCCCCTGGGTCTGAGCCCCCAGGGCAGGGCCTCCAGCTGCTGGCCCCCACCCTACCCTCTCCTAGGGCCCCTGCAGCCCCTCCCCTCCTGGCTCCAGGGTGAAGAGGCTAGAGGGGAGGGAGCACGGAGCCCTCAGGGCCTCATTTTACCGCATTGTGTTTGCTCTTGTCGAGCAAGCGGCTCGCTCCTCCCCCCTGGAGCCGCACCGCACCTCCCCACCAGCTGGACCGACAGGCCCACCCAGCAGAAGGCCAGCACAGCCAGGCCATCCCCAGAGGCATGAGAGGTGGGGGGACCCTCAGCACAGGCGCTCAGCTGCCTGGCCACCACACTGAGGACAGGAGACATGCCGTGAGCGTTGGCCTGCCCCTTGAAGGGCTGAGCTGGGACCTCTGCCTTCCCAGGAGAAGAGCAGGGTCAGCTGCATAGTCTGGACAGACCTTGGAAGCAAGTCGCTCAAGCCCTGTGGCACTGATGGAGCCCCGGGGTCATCTGGGAGGGGCTGGGAGTGGCGCCTTTGGGACCCGCCTCCAGCGCCCTCACGTCCAGCAGGGGCTGGCCCTGCCGAAGAACTGGGACTGGGAGCTGGCCGGGGCCCCAGGCCCGCAGCAAGTTGAGAAGCTCGTGGCTCCCACCCCCTCCCCTAGGAAGTGCTGTGCACCCCACGTGCGGCACCAGAGCCGGGTGGTCGTGGCCTCCGCTCCCGTGGACATTGTGGTCAGGGGCTCAGGCAAGCCGCTGGCCACCCACTGCTCTCCCTGTGCTCATGCACACACCCGGTGGGGACGGGGGCCTGTCCTTCCTAAGAGGCTTTAGTGTCTGTGGTTAGGACGATATGATTTGTCATGGGTGCATTCACAGAAACTTCTGAAACATAAGCAATGAGTGGCTGGAGTTTTAACTCCTGGTGAGAACATGTCAGTGAACAGGGTTCCCGCCCGCACCACCCTGCCCCTGCCTGGGAGACCTCAGCCCTCTCCCTTCCCAAGAAGGGCTCCGGCCTGGGAGCCCCCTGCTGGTGGCCAGCAGCCAGAAGCACACCCTGCCCTCTCCACCTCCCACCCAAGGACTGGGACCTGCGGGGGAGGGTCTCCCGGGGGCCCCTCCTCACCACACTCACCTCTAGGGGGAGCTATGACTTCCACTGGCATTTTTGTTTTAATGGATGTTGGAAGAAAATTTTTCATCCCAGAAGAAAAGCACAGACACACAGCTGTCGGCCTCAAGCTTCCTGAGCTGCCCCCTCACCACAGCAGGAGGCTGTGAGGACACACGTCTCACACAGCAGCCCGACACCATTTCTTTCTGTCGCCATGGTAACAGCTTGTGCTCCAGGGAGCTACCAGTGGCCGCACCACCCACTTCTGGACACCCACCTCCGGAGGCCTGATCCAGACCCAGCAGCCATCTGGCCTTCTCACAGACAGCCTTTGTCCATTACCTGGCCCTCACAGCTTCCTGCTGTCGGGCAAGCCCTGGGCTGCAGAGCCCACACGGGATGAGTGTGACACGCAGTCTTGGGGAAATCCTTAGCTTCTCCTCATCAAGTTAGGAAGCAGCA